CCGTACAACTCGCGAACACTCGATACCGTCAACCACCAAAAGCTCTTAATGACACACTAAGTGGGTTTGCAAGTGATAGCAGTGCTAATTCCTATGTAAGAGCTTCAGAAATTATAGGCCCATTTAATGTATGAACTTATAGACTACACCTGTTGTTTCTTTTGCCTTTATCTATAATTTCATACAAAAAAGCAGCAGTCATGAAAATAACACCCATACAAATAAGATTCGATCGAATTATGTCTACCTGATACAAAGCGTGAACCATAACCAACAAACGAATGAAATATGAGAAAACAAGGTCGAGACTTACCACAACATCAATGGAAGGATATAAGTTACTCGGACATCATTTATAATCCACCAACTGGTCTCCTTTCCAAAAGGAATGCGGCGATATTTTATCCACAGTTATGAGCAAATACGTAAATCCACAGTTCCCGTTGTATACACTCAGTGGAGATTGCAGCCAACAAAGTAATGCATTTAAAGCATATGCACACTTCCCATAATCACGGCGACACTGCGGAATATATCAAAATCGCAGAGTAATCAAACCCAGCACGCGATGTAATTAACTGAATCCGAAAGGCAAACAAGTTGTAGTACGTATTTGAATATTCATCCATATGTCCACCATGATGACAAATCCAAATCACTACCTATACAGCGTCAATAAGTCTGGATATCTATGAAATGACGAAAATATGCTGATAGCTGCATCTCAGATCCCAGTGACTCATTCGATGGCAAAATTCTGCTCCTGCATGCCTCTTTCGACATTTTTGCATGGATTGGTTCGCAGTTACTCAGGTTCCAGACCAAAAAGAATAAAAAATTCACCGGTTGCTGAATTATAATTACTTCTCTGCATGTTTAACTGGATACTAACTGCTGTGGTGAGCCTTTTGCAGTTTATATTGCTTAAAACATCGTTTACGGTAAACTGAGTAACTTTTTATAAGCCATTTTTATACTTTTGTGACTAGCCCACCATATCGACCGAATGTAACGCAACACTCAGGTGTTTCGCTCATGTTCAACAAATTCAAACAATAATTGTGCCTAGGATTATGCCATATAAACTGTTTTAACTTATGCAGAGTGTACTTACGGTCAATATTTCATTATCCCCCCTTGTATATATATATATTTTGTATTAGTGAAAAATTTTAAACATTTTTACTCCATGTGTGCATTATTATGATATTGATGATGCCTGTCAACTGGAGTCCCTCAAGTGCATAAAGTGGTAATATATTATTGTAAGACGCATTTTATTGTTATATGAGGGAATTGACTTCAAGCTTTATTTATTTTCCCAAGTATACGTAGTCCATCCAACGCATACTTGGGTTTTTTTGTTAATGCGAAGTCAATATCTCTAAATTTCTTGGTGTGTTCCATTGAATCACCAGTTTTCCGATGTTCCCCACAGACTAAAGATAAAATGACAACAACCATGTTATTTAACCGTAAATCATGTAATTTAAATATGTAACTTAAATATTTCTTATCCATTCCTATACAACTTGTGTGTCCTATATTTGTATGAATATATATGTACCTTATTATATTATCATTGCTAACTATACTTACTAATCGTATGTGTAATTTATCGAATTGATGATGCCTGTAAACTGGCGTCCCTCATGTAAAGAAAAATGAGAATATACTATTATTATTATTAATTCACGATATTACAACACTGTAATTTATAACATGTCTCAGTGTGCCTGTAAAAGTGGCATAACACAAAACTTACAGCTACTGAAAGGTGTATTTACTGGCGGTGATTTGAATTAAGTGTAGGGAGAAGATCACGCCGCCTAGCAACAGACACACTTCCCTTCAAATCTCAATCGACTACAGCGTGGTCAGTTTATCACGGATAGAAAGACTGACTATCGAAAATAAAATGCATGGGTTTCATTTGGATTGAGTAAGCTTATTTTATCGCCTGCAAGTAATTGTCACGCACGTTACCTGTTAGCGTTTCTATGAATACCTGACAGGAATATAAATCTGTTGATCGAATCTCGACAATAGTGTTTTTATTCTAACGAAATATATGTGAAAGTGCTAATTGTGCTGAACGAAGTGCATTTAGTTTTTGAAGTGCAAAATACGCGGAAATAACACTGCAACACGAATTTCGATGAGACCTTTCAGAGACAAGTCAAAAATATTATTTCCAGGAGATTCTTCAGTTTTGTCGCGATGTTAGCAGAGAATTTCGAGCGAAAATATTTTGGTGGCACAAAGCAACGTGGAAACAATGGTAATTTTTTCATATCTGCTCCAAAATCACATGTTATTGGTTAAGTTGCTTCTCGAGCGATTATATATATGGTATGAAAGGTACAGGCTTTTGCACCCGTTGAACTGTTAGAGATCAGATTTCAAATAATATGGTGGCAGCCAGTAAATTGTTGAAGCAGAAACTTCGTCAAACAAACGTGGGTGAAGATGGGAGTATCGCGAGTTGCCTTTGCTGACTGCATGAGAAGCATGGCAGCACGTTATAGCTTCATGAAAACCTGGTAAATCACTTTCAGGACTGGTGGAAGTTACGTCGGATATGATTGCAGAACTCCTGCTAGCCCGTGATATAGAATAGTCTACCTGAGGAAATTTAAGTCGCAACTGACCATATCCGTTCTATTAATGAAAGCACCCTGAAACAACAGTGCGGCAAGCTCGACTTTTAATATGTTATATCCTCCAAGAATGAATATCTGTTCACCTCGCTCCGACAGTGTCAGATAGCACTGGTTTCAGTTGCATTTTGGAATGTCAGTAAAGATAAAAATATTCACTTCTGCCTCGGCTAAACTTTGGGAAACATTAAAAGCTTACCGTACTTTACCATACGTTACAGGTCAGGGAAAAACGAATAATTTTGTAAAATGTTACTTAATATGCAATTACAACGGCAAGCAGTGAAAACTATGCGATTTATAGTTAAAATATAGCACAGAACAGACTTCCGCCTTTCATAGAACTAACTTATTGACATAGTACCTAGAACTAAGATTTGTTATTGAGGAATGAAGTGAAGGACAATTAGGAATATAGTTACTCTTAATTTTGTGTTTTATACGCTGTGTGAAAGATGTAGAGCTACCTCGGGTTATTTCGTAGGAGACATCAGAAAACAGCTGTTATTAAAACAGTCGAAAAGTAACGTGACGATAATGGGCATGATGCAAGATGACAGAAATTGTCTTTGTACTAGTAGTCAGAGAGCATGCTAGTAGGCAACTGAAGAGGGAAGCTCAGCCAAACATACGTATGAGACTAATTATATTCATACAACACGGAGATTTTAGAAAGCTGATGATAAGATGCAGTAGAAGTGCTGACTACATTGTTCTCCCAATGAATTGCATTGTTAAGATGGAGAAAGCCTTTCTCATCCAAATGGAAAAGTACGCAGACTGAGGGGAAAGAATTCGGCAACAATTTTTCGGGTTTTAAAAACATCTAGCATGAACTGCGGTTAAAACTTGCGCTCAGCAATTCGTAAACTTTCATAACTTTTCGCACTTCTAATCAGAGTCATCGACCAGATTTCGCTGCACTACTTTATGGCATATCTGGGTATGGAGTCTGCCTAGGAATAGGCAAATGGTGTTATATGCCAATGATGACGACGGATCCCATAACAAATAATCACACTTCATGTGATGTACAATCAATCTAAGTTTGTGAATGATCGAGCTTTTGCCTCCCAATTATCCACATGCTAAACATTTCAAACAAGTTTGGAGAAGACATCCGCGCGATGGAATCAGAGTAATCATACTGACCATTGGCTAAGTACAACCTGTATTATTAAAAAAATGAATTAAACATGAAGAAAATCCTGAAATCTTGACATGTCCAGTACACCCTGCGTTTAACTATAGACCTGAGAGATTATCTACGAGAGTTTGTACGCTACACATTTATTCGCAGTGAACAGCTAAGGAACCCACAGCCATACTCGCTGAAAGACTTTCTTGTCAGTGCCAGCCGAAGCTTTAGAGTCCCAGGTTTTACTTTTACTTATTTGAATGACGTAGGTTTAGCAGATACATAGACGAATAAGTGTCATTTGACACAAGATAATGCATTAAGTATTTAATTTCGTCACGACAGAATAACGGTTCACTTTTTGCTGTCAACGAACAATTACTCCTTTAGAGGATGGAGTAATAACACCTGTAGATAATTTGAGAAATTTCTGAATGTGATTTGCGATTCCAAGGTGGAGAAGCTTTTCAAAGTGCTATAAACAGATGATTTAAAAATGAGTGAAAATTGTAGTCACTGGGATAGTCGCTGGAGTTTCCCACCGTTAAGAGAAAAGAATAACGGGAAATTGAGGATCTCTACAGGCTTACTAGCTTAGAAGCTGCAGAATGTCGATGGTCACGCAACAAATGTAGATATTTCACAAGGCTACCTCTAGCCATAAATAACATATTCTAGTAGTTGTTTGAATATAATGATAAGTTTGTTAATTTGGCAATATTTTCAGAAGAATGAGGAAAATTTCCATTATTTGTGGGCAATTGGCAAAATATAAACATCAATAATTTCATATATTCCACAGTGTATAAACTTTTCACAAACATTAACTACCCGTCATCACTAATGTCTGGAGACGAATGGACTTTTGGCCCACTCATATACAACAGGTCGCGATATAAAGATACTGACTGCCATTATCGAAGTCCACTATGCATGCCTGTGAATATTTGTGGTTGGAAAAGCTCTAAATAGTATTTTTTCTGTAACAACTGCAGCACAACATTTAAAAACGCGCTTTCTGACACCAACAGGTAAATACTTCTTGAATTGATGATATAAAATTTGCATCTCAAAACAATGTATTATTTCATATTTCCTACGCTACAACAATAGATTAACAACTTCTTTCACTGTGTTGAATGCCATAGATTTAAGTGGGTACGCCGTGGCTGCTTCTTTGATTCCCACTTGTTAGGACCAGGATGAAAGTTACTTTCAAGACGTTGAAACAGCAGACGTTCGTTTTAGACCTTCAGGAAGATGATTTAGTAAGTTACTGTTTAGTACATTGTGATGTGAAGGTTGGTGATGTTAAAAAAAAAATCGAAGCAGAAAGGGGTGGTGAGTTCGTGGCAAGCACACAGAAACTGATACATTCAGGTGAGCATATGGACCTGATATGGACTTTTTTGTAGGGAAAGTTATGGAAGACACTAAGTGTTTGAAAGATTACAAAGTGACGGATTCAGGTTTTGTTGTGGTTATGTCTGTCTCAAAAGCGGCCAAAGATACACCTAAAGAACCGGTGATTGCGAACCTAACCAGTCCCGCCTCTGATAATAAACCTGTCGCAGAGAAGAAAAATACTGTAGCGGATGTTAAGGAGAACACTGGCAGTAAATCGAGTCCTGTCTCCCACAACAGCCCACCTGCAGTTGCCGCCACTCCATCGGATCACTGTAATACTCTGGGCATTGGTGAAAGTTCACTGGTCACTGGCGAAAATTTTGAGCGAGTTGTTCAGGAATTGGTATCTATGGGATATGAAAGGTCATCGGTCAGTACCTTTAAAGTATAATAACAATAAATTTAGGTTATCCGTGCAATGAGAGCAGGTTTCAACAATCCAGACAGAGCATTTGAATACCTTTCATCAGGAAACATTCCAAACGTCGACATAGTTGAGCAGTCACCGGCTCAAAGAGAAGGAACTGAAAGCGTATCTCCAGAAGCACCTGGCGACGTTGATGTCCCGAGCTCAGAGTCAGTAAACTCGGATGACCCAATCACAGTTCTTGCTAGTTTACCTCAGTTTCAACAAATGAGAGCGCTAGTACAAGCAAATCCTGATCTATTACCACAGCTCATTCAACAAATCGGGAATGATAACGCGGATTTGTTCAGGGTAGGTCTCATTTGAACCCGTATATTTCCCTAACTTGTAGCTTGGTTGTTTTCATTGGATCTGTGGTGCGTAGTCCTGAATCTTCCATAGCATTTGCGTGGACGCTCTTAAATCAGTTTTTATGACTTTCGGGTTGCGTTCGTCCCTACCCTTCACACTGTCTTGCTCAGAATCATTTAAGAGATTTTAGGTTTATCGTGTCACAGATAACTTCATCTTGGTTAGTGTCTGATTTGATATCAAAAGCAGATATTTATCAGTATTCGGTAAGGTATGCTTGTAAGCTATATATGACGTGTAGACTTATTTACTGTTTTGCTTCTATTATCCAACATTTAGTCTCAATAAAAAATCTTGATAAATGCACACTTCAAAGCTGGTTAGCGTCTGTTGATTTAATGTGTATAAAATTACACAATATGTAAAATATCACTGTAACATATGAATATATTTTTAGCTCATCCAAGAAAATGAACAAGCATTTCTGGAGTTTTTGAATACTCCAGCCTCCGGTACTCCCCGTTCTCCTGGTCAGCGTCAAACTGTGCTTACGATGACTGCTGACGAACGTGCTGCCGTGGACCGTTTAAAAGCTTTAGGCTTCCCTGAGGAGTTGGTTATTCAGGTATGTTCATTGCATTTTCCATGTGTTAATCTATAAAGGTTACGTTTTGATTTAGACAGCACAGTGACTTGTTAGAAATATCAACTTTCGTATATTTATTTTGTAGTCCAATACTATTATCTAGGATTGTCTTGTCGTTATTCTAATCTGTGAAACTATTTCACAGTGTTGTAGTGTGGAACTGCCTGTGCTTAATATTTTTCTTTATATCTGTAAATAGGTTTTTGTTCATGAATAATTATTTATTTTCCGAAACATCACATTCCCATATTGACTAACTGAGTAACAAACCTGATTTACGTGGACCAAATAGTGTGTCACGTAGTCCACTGTTTAAATTAAAACTGCGAATCGAAGTCACTTGTCTTTGGTTTCCATATATGCAGTGCTCTCTAGTAGGCAGTGCAAACCTTTGATAGTCTTACAGGCACATATACTGCATTGGCATACTAAGACCTTTGCTTAAATAAAAAATAAGTCAACGTCAACTGCACAGTGAGTGTGATCACCCGGTATCTTCTATATTCATATGGTAGTAGCGTACGACAGTAACCTAAAGAATATTGCTGCAGGTACTAGCACGCTATTAAATTTGCTTGTCTGTCTGTTTTCAACATGGAACTTTGTACCGATGTGCAGCAGTTCAGGTCGCCACACTCCATGTAGCACACAAAGCAAGAGAAGAAAGTAGAAGAAATATAAGATAGAGACAGTAAACAGGGATATGAGACAAAAGGAATAGTAAAAACGAAGAACAACATAGTTTCATTGGAAGTCACAAGAAGTGGTTGCATCTGCGCTATGCATTGAGAACGATTTCGAGCCATATCACTGATTGTCTCCAGCCATTGGTTTTTACCGTCCCGAGGACCTCAACCAGAAAGTCTTTACCTTCCTACGTGGCTTAAATTAACTGTTGTGGATTTCATTGACTGGTGCCATGTTTTGCTTTGATCGCCGCTAGCTCTTTTCCAGCCATATAACAGCTAACATTGCCCGTCGAGGAAGGCGATGACTAGGGATACATAACACGTGTCCTAACCATTGATTTAAAAATAAAACTTGCGCACTGTGTAAAATTTCATTAAGGATAAAAATTTTTTTGATAAAGTCTCACAGTGTTATACAGTAATGTTTACTGATGACGTTTCGAGCACAATTTATTGCTCATAATCATATCACCACTTCAGGTGACAACTCGCCGTAAGCCGTCACCTGTCTGCATGAGTTCGAGTAGTTCGAGAGATGTATTTCCTCGGCATTCCCTTTACAGTCAAGCATCGCCAGAGTACCTCTCGGTCGACAGAATCGAATGCCACCTGCAGGTCAAGAAATATAACGGTTGTTGGACGCCAGTAGGAATGCCTATGTTCTAGAATCTGTCGGAGGGTGAAGATATGATCAATACACCTTCCTGGCCTAAAACCTGCCTGGTATTCTCGTGTTTGTGCCTGTCGAGCACCACTTAGTCTACGCAATATTATTGAGTCTAGAACTTTAGATGCCACCATATTAGTCACGCTAATCCCCCTGTGATTATCACAGGAAGACTTGTCTCGCTTCTTGTTTATCAGGATAATCAATAACATACACCAACCCGACGGAATTCCTCTGATTCCCAGACACTGCCTAGTACCTCAATTAACGCAGATATTAAACTGTCTCCACCTTACTTAAACACCTCTGGAGTCATTCCATCAGGTCCTGCTGCTTTGCCTCGTTTCAGATTAGTGACAGCTTTAGTAACCTCAGTTAAGGAAGGAGGAGCTGTGTCTATATCCCATTCAGAAAGGTTTTGGATGTTCGGTAAATTGGGTGTGGCTGTAGGCCAATTGAACTGCTCGTCAAAGTGTTCTTTCCAGCGTTCCAGTTGTCTACCTGGCAGCTAATTATGGTACCGTTTTTCTCAGAGACTGTTTTACTTAGCGTTTGCCTTTAACTAATTGTTTCCCTGATAAGTCTAAATAATTGTCTGGTGTTACCAAGCGCCCATGCCTTTTCCATCTCCGTAGCTTTTGTCACCCACCACTGTTCACGGTCGTTGTCAAGACTTCTTGTCAGTTTGCGTTTGAACAGCTTTCGGTCCTCATCATAATTGGAGCTCGCCGGAATCAGCCTTGCGTCAATCAGTACGGATGAGGTGGTAGAGACCGAATGGCTCTTACTAACTTTAGGTTTTAGCTTATTAACAGCTTTTACAGCTGTGTCTACAGCTAACTGTATTTTGTGTCAGGCTACCTCAGGAGGAGTACGGCTATCCACCTCAGGTACTCGTTTCGCTATTTCCTCCTTATATAGGGACTCAGAGTCTCTATCTAGTTGTGGACGGAACTGTTTCCTATGTCCGTTTAGCCGTAAGCAGAAACGTGCGCAAACCAGAGAGTGATCAGAGTCTACGCACGTGTTCTAAAACGAGCGGCAGTTTTCTCCTGACCCTCGCCAACGATACCCTATCTCTATGTGGTCTATCTGAGTCCAGTGTTGATTTGGTGATGGAGGTTGCCAGGTTGCCAGGTCTCTTTGTGCCTAAAGTCAGTGATGACTAAGAACAGATGATTATCTGAACAGAACTGTAGAAGACGATCACCGTTGTCGTTTCGTCGGCAGGAAACTCCATACGTACCACTTACATACTTCTCAGTCTGGCACAACTTCCCTACTTGGGCATTGAAGTCGCCTGCTAAAACAACTATATCTGAACGTTTTGCTTTTTGCAGAAAATTAGACAGTTTCCGGTAGAAGTCATCTTTTAGTTCATCCGAACTGCAGTCTGTTGGGGCGTAAGCAGAGACTACGACGGGTAGCGCCGTCCTTCCTTTTTCTAACGGACCCGTTCAGACGGACCACACACATACAACTATCTACTGAGAACCAGTCAAGAAGTGATTTTTCTGCCCTAACACTCAAAGCTATCCCTAATTTTGCAGTCCCCGCGAACTAGCTGAAGGGTCTCTTGACACTTGAGGTGAATTTTTCAGACTCACCTTGTTGGCCGGTTGAGGTTAAGTGAATGACCACACCCGGGTCTTGTATGCTTGTCTCCCAAACGCAAGATACATCCATGGCTCGAGATGCCAGAGTTCTTACTAGTGATGCCTGTTGTCCAATTTGGCTGAGGGTCCTGACGTTAAGTGCTCCTATGTAGAGTTGGCGACGTGACTTTAAAAGTATGTCGGGTGTGTTTCTATAGCTCTCATCGTTGTTTGTGGTCACAGAGGGAAGTGAAGATGACTGGCTAGTCTGAAGAATAGTGGCGACTATAGTAGAAAAGTAAGATGATGAAGGTGATGTGGGTAAAGGAGAATGATGCTCGAGGACGCTTCGTGTGCTCTTGGAAGTGTGTGGGTGGCTTTTATTTCCCGGCTACCCACAACGTGGAAGTTGATTGATTCTCTGGGTACCTGAATCAGAGACAGGATTAGTGTTGCGTGACCGAAGAGCCCAGGGGACAACTGCTTGAGGCCGGTCACATGGCCTGTATGAACTGATTTCTTGGTTTGGATGCCCGGCGCTATTCACCGGGTTGACTGTCCATTGGATGACAGTCTAGGGGAGATGGCTAAACCCTGATTCCAAACCTCCAACGACTGGCGTATGAAGCTCACTGGAACTCACCGACAGACGTATGAACAAAGGGCTTGTTGGATGTCCTGGATGTCTGGCCCCATTCAAAAAGGCGTATGAACTGAACTCCGGTCACCGGCTGCCAATGGATAGTGGACTCCCTACTCCACTCCTACTGCCTTGTAGGTCACACTTGGTTGTGTAAAGGCTAGAGCTGCACTCTCAAACTAAAGGCCGAGCGATTCTGGGGACATCACTCGTACCAAATTCCCATGAAACTTCATGAACTCTCAGTACAGTCAAGGCTGATATGGAGTGCCTGGGGCTACAAACCGTCTACGGAATCCGTCTGTGGAACAAGAATTGGATAACCCTGTCGCAAAACCTTACATCAAATCGCCGCGCCTGGGCAGCGATGATTCGAGATGTTCATGAAGCCGGCTCATCCTCCCGTAGGAGATAGCCGTAGTAAATTAAAAAAATTAATTAATTTGGTTCCGTATCAGTGAACTTACCGCCGTTTACGGACCACCATAGGGTCAGTCGGGATGTACAATTGTTGGGGTCGACCTTTTCTAACCCCCTCTCTCCAGAGTGGAGAGATAGCATACCTGACATGCTCGTCATCTGAGGGAAACACCTCACTGCTGTTACATCCCTGTTCCCCAGCAGTACGACTTCGCCCACAGACCCCCAGCATAGTGTGAAAAGAAAAACTCTTACACCGAGCAGGTAACTGCTTTTAGTCTAATCGCTTTCCTAGCAATCTTCCTGACATGGTAGGACCTGCAGGAACAGTAGTTCCAGCCAGTGTAACTTGTTGGATCATTGCGATGTGCAAGCTCGACCACCATGTCAAGGTAGGAGCTATCGGTCGGGATTAAATTTGCTTGCAGAGTGAGGGTGGTGTTTCTTGGGGCAAAGTCATGCCGATGGTGAATAATGGTCGGATAGCAGTAGGCCAGGTTATTCTACTGTCTCGATATGGAGGAGGGATGAAAGAAGTTTGGCGTTTAAGGTTCTACATCCTGACTTATCCTGCACCATTCCGCTGAAGGCAAAATTTTCATACGAACGGGGCCTTAAACAGTCAAAGGATGATGGGCCTTAATTAGGCGTTCTCTGGGCTTTGCTCTTTTTCAGCACCTGCGTTTTCTCTTTGAAGCACGTCAAGAAAAAGTCAATTAGTCAGTGCAGGCCACTGGTAAATCCCAGTAGCTCACGCACTATAATAATCATAGTTCAATCCACCATCTACTGTCTTCATTCTACTTTCATTAAAATCCAATTGTTTCCACTGTAAATACTGTTCATTAGGTTGTTCATCTTTATTATTTACCCATTGCTGAAAACTTGAGACAGCGATAGTAACCAATCTTCACATATTTCTAAGGAGGAAAGACATTTTGTGGAGCAATTCAGCTGACCTACAACTGGAATGGCGATGTCGGTCTTTCAACTGTAGCTGAGGTATATAAGCTGTCTTTAACCTTGAACGGAACAGAGCAGCAAGATATGATATTATAAATCGAAAGGTGGTTAAGCATGGTAGTGGTGAATTATTGATTCGGCTAACTAGTCCTTACAGATTGTTTATTATCACAGTCCCCATGATAATTAGGGGGTTCCAAAGACGGTAAGGATGAATGGTTGAAGGTTGTGTTATGTCACGCAAACATTTTCATTGTCACCCATGAATTTAGTCCTACTTATAATCTAGATTATATAAAATCACGAAATCCGTATCTTGTTATTCTCGCTTCCATGCGTTTACTTTAATCTCACTGTATGTTCTCTGTTTCATTGCGTTCTTTCTCGAAGTATGGCAAATGAAACCGTATAGATCTGCTCACAGTTCTTCGTTGAGCAGTCAGGATGATGGTGAGGACGAGTTGACTGTGCTTTATAGCACAGTTGTCGAAGTTCACTGTAAACTTGTACTACTATAATTGAAAATCATTTGACTACTTTCATTTTCTAAAGCTTTCCAATAAGTACACTTTTTCATGGTGAAACAATGTTCAGATTCGTGACCAAGTGGTTGTAAAACTAATCCCTCAACTACTGCCAAAACTCGACGTCCTTATCAGCCTTTAACTAACCTATCAACGCTCATAAGCCCATCCGTTTGCTTGAACTTAAAGTATGTAAATCCAGTAACAGACAAATCTAGGTTTTGTTAGAATCGCTTGTGGCGATTAAGTATGCCAGGCCGTGCAAAATACTTTTTAGCAAACGAGAATTTTGACAGAATCCTACTTCAGTTTTCGTGTACTGATAAATGAAATGCATCTACAATTTGCAGATTGTAGAATGTGTTGAACTTGTATACTTACAATCATAGTCTTACAAGAACTACGATTTATCATTTGGTGAGTGCACTGGTAAGCTAGTGCTAACCAGTGGAAAAACTCAGTATAAGACCCCACAAACCTGTGGACAGAGTCGGAATAGCGTCAACTTCGGTTTAGACCAAAACTATGGAAGCACACAAACGGGAGGAGAAATACGGCATTGATGCCTTTTAGCGAATTTGTACATGCCAATATTAGGCTATCATTGACAATGAATGTAAGCAGCGAGTTATTTCGCGAAACAAATTTGATAACTAATCGTTCATTATAGTGATGTACCTGAACTGTCATCCTTTATGATTTTAATTACTTATATCCCTTTCCTCACCTGTACAACATTCGTACCTATCGTTCTGCCTGTTTGATTCAATTAATCATGGGTCATATATATATATATATATATATATATATATATATATATATATAAGTGCATCGGTGGCACAACAGCCGAGCGCTCACCAACCACGCATGCGGTCCGGGGTTCGATCGTCGGTCGACGCACTTCTTTACCTCTCTAAACCAGTAATAAAACTAGTAAGGAGGGAAGGTCGGGCATCGGGCTAGCAACCTCATCTCGTTAAAAGTAAATACCACTGCTCCCGAAACTTCAAGTCCTACTTTTCACTGGGGACGTAAAGGCATTAATGTATATGGCATACTTAATCGCCACAAGCGATTCTAACAAAACCTAGATTTGTCTGTTACTGGATTTACATACTTTAAGTTCAAGCAAACGGATGGGCTTATGAGCGTTGATAGGTTAGTTAAAGGCTGATAAGGACGTCGAGTTTTGGCAGTAGTTGAGGGATTAGTTTTACAACCACTTGGTCACGAATCTGAACATTGTTTCACCATGAAAAAAGTACTTATTGGTAAGATTGAGTAAAGTTTTTCATTATAATCTATACAGAACTGTTCGCATTTTTGAGAAATGACCTGTTTTAGTGTGCCTAGGAATCTTTTCGACTGACTTTACGTTTCCCAGGTATACCATGAAGCAGCACGTACTTCCTTTCACGACTTGGATCAGTGATTAGATACTAGACGGGATGTAGCCTCTCGGTTTAAACACTGGGTTTGCAGCCAGTGGGTTCAAGTTCGAATCCTGCGCTATTTCACCCCACGACACTGAGTAATGTCATCAGCCCCTCAGAATACCGACTGACTGACTGGTTTCAACATAGAACTTTGCGCAGATATGCAACAGTTCCACCTAAACGTAAGGCTGACAAATGCCTCTTACAGTTTCCGACACTTTTTATTCATTTCTCTTTTTTTATATCAGTTACCCTAGAAATATATGTAGCAGCTTATATCTTGACTGCTCAGTTGCATCTCACATCCCATTTTGTAATTTCCTAAAATTTCTCATTCTTGTGAAATGGGTGGGAGTATTGCATTACTGATGCAAATCTTTCAATTTGTAAACTCGGTGGGAGATTTGTTTTATTAGTGGTAGGTTTCACAATATTATTTCCAAAATTATTAACTGTTAAGAACTGTCTCAATTCCAATCTTCTAGTTTTCGATTATACTACTGGTATACGTTATAATTTTCCATCTTCATTAAAGATAGTTTCGTTCCCATACTCTTTCTCTTTGTGTTTTTTGAAGCGTGGGAACCCATTGATGCACTTTTGTTAAGATGAACAGTTCGCGTATACCGTCCGGATAATTGTGGAGATGTAGGTAAATGTGTCAGATATTCCGCTCTCAGCCAGTTCGTTCCAGGTCCTAATCTTGAACCAATTATCCTAGCCTTGACAACGAGGTAGTATTCCCAACCTTCACACACGTAACTCATCTCTATATTTTGGGTAAATGAGTTATGAGTGAGCCATCAAGATAATTGTGGTGATTGCCGATTGATTAGTTCGTATTAGATTGCTCTAAAATTTCTCCTATCAGTCTTCCAGTCTTGTAGGTTTTCGTTATATAGTCATTTTCCATTGTTTTATTCCTTGTAATACATGCATTACGCTTGGTAACTTGAACGAAGAATATAGTCATATCAAACATATATATATATATATATGTATTCAGTAATTGAATTGCTTTGTTCGCTGTTTAGTGTTTTGGCATAATTCAGACTTGTACTGTGTAGCCCAAGATAGTGAACTGTGTTATGGACAAAACTTATAAAAATCTGGTTCATTTTCTCAGAAATGTTAAGAGTTTGTCTGTCTAGTAAACTATTGCTAATAGCAAATACTGATGTTAGTTCATTTCACGCAGTTGTGCATCTCCATTGGTCCCATACATTTTTGAAATTACGGATGGAACATTTTTCCTCACCTAAAGTGTAATTTTTATTCATGCTTTCGTCTTGCAGGCATATTATGCGTGCGAGAAAAATGAGGATGCAGCGGCGAATTTCCTTTTAAGCGAAAACTTGGACGATGAAATGGTATGAATCAGTAAGTATGCTTCAATATTGCTATTTTTAGTGATAGCCGTCGCAGGAGTGTCACGCATACATTTGTACCAAATCTACGTCCATTTTTCCTTTCCGTACAGCCTTATTCTAATTACTTCTCTTCATCAATTCTTATGTTTATTCTTACTAATTCATATTTTCGAAGGCAGTGGTTATAAAACTATATTTATTGCCGTTTATAATGACTTGGCATTTTATTGGTGCACATGTACGGCCCACTGACGTGAAGATATCGCTTGTTTTCTAAGACATTTAATCTTGTTCGTTCATATGGTATGCAAAACTTTATTTTGCAACAATGTAAACCGCTTCCTATCCTTTTGTTCCACCGTATTCAAATGACTGATTTTAAACTTTTGTTTTTTGGCGTTATTTATGTGATTTGTATTTGGTATGGCACGAAATGCATGTGGTTCTTCATTTAAAACAGAAGTACGATTAGTTTTATGAATGAAAAATCTAGTTTTAAAATTTTCAAGATCAAAACATCCGTATGTCATTACGAATATATATTTTTCATACTACTGGCATTCTCTTCGTGTTCGTATGTGATGGCCGTCTTACATGTTGGCAGATGGAAGTCTTTTCAGTACCCTGCCTAGTATAGTGCCTTTTCTAAAATATCGAGTGTTTATCTTAGTTACTAAATGAATTTCGGTCATTCACGCAGTCTCATTTGTTTCTTTCTTTCTATGGCTGTGAGAAAATCACGAAGATGGAAACAGTTGCACTAAAGTGAGTGAACGACTGGTCAGTGTACTGTCAGTCACACAAAAGATTATTGCAGTGCAAAAACGAAAGCGTATGAGAACTATTTGTTGAAAATGACCACATATGTGTCATGGTTAACGAGTTTAAATGTCTTTTTGAGTAGTCGCTAACAATCACTCTTTGACTGATATAGCCTCTCAGTGACTTCATGAGTCGGTCCAGTGTTTTGATCTGAAAACCCATTTTCGGTCCTCTAAATAATTATTTCATTTGAAGCAAAATATTTAGATAATGGGTACTCCAGCTTACGCAGCAAACCACAGTCATCTTAGTGGTACTATAGTGTTAACTTGATTGTCTTTATAGAACATTACCTTTTATATCAACTACGAAAATACCCTAACTCAACAACCTGTAGTTGTTTCTACGCTGTCTGCAGTTAGTTGCTGCGTAGGTTGTATCATTATGTATGTCAGGAATACTTATGATTGTGCAGTTGATAACCTTGTTGCTTTTCAATCTGATGGGAGTCATCAACATGGAGAATAAGAGCACGAGTCGTTAATGCAATTTCTCAGTTTTCATTTCAGCATTGACAGTTGCTATTATTCCCCTCATTCTGCCCAAACATACTCCAATGACTGATGACACCAAATTTTAGTAATGCACATGAGTTGAGGAGCGATATACCATGTCCTTTCTCTTTAGGAACTGTATCTTGGACATTAATGTACACTAAATCAGGTCTCCACTATTGAGGTTAATAGTGACACAGGTGCTCTGCAAACCGTTGCTGAAACTTTATCAATACGTACGATATGTAGAATCTGTGTCGTCAGTCTTTTTCTTTTCATACTACGTATCATAAGTGAAGTAAAGATCAGATACACACTTTACTGATGAGTGCGACAATATTTTTGAGTCGCTGCAGGCAGCTTGTAGGAAGACGGGATGATACACCAAGTTAAATGTCAATCAAATATGTACATTGTCCGTTAGAACACAGTGAGCATACATATGAGAGTCTATTGACTACATACCTGCTGGTGAGTGCATAATCGCAGACACACAAGAAGCGCTTTTGGGTTGTTTTTTTAGTCTAGATAACCACTCGGGCCCCATTCATACTGACCCAGTTGGTCGTTTTCTAGCATCTCATGGATAGACTCATATTGCTAGCCTGAGCTACACAGAATATTGGGTGTTTTGAAGCACTATCTAAACAGTAGCGCTTACTTTTACGAAAAGATGAAGTGCAACTCTGGGACTCCTTTCCACCATAAAAACCGAAAGTAGAATAAAAGGCGAAGATGCTCTTATTTTATCTGTGACTGAACCCTAAGTCTTGGCTCTCTCAGAAAAATAGTGCAACTACTTCCAAGCAAATGGTGTGACAAAACGTTTTCATAGAAAAATACAGGCTGGATCGTCAGTAGTAAGCACCTCACAGCTTACTGATTTACTGTCCTCAGCAGGAGGAATTCATTGTAAGCTGATTCGGGCTAAACTCTTGATAGGCCGATATAAAGAACAAAATTACACATACCACGTGATTCTGTTGCAGCATTCAGATGCAGGTCAACAGGCTCAAGAAATAAATGTGTTCCAATATACTTGCTCTCCGCCGGGCCACAGTCCAAAGACATTTTCGTTCAATCATTTCTATCGATGACTTCAAGCATATTTGTTTGTGGTGAACCTGTACTTTTTCCTCCGGAACCCCATAAGTCAAAGTCGTCGAAGGCATGGATAAAGTCTTAGTTATCTGTTTTCGTGCGAATTAATGACAACCAGCCTTAATTTATCAACTTATGAATGAACACATCGCAATGTAAATTGTACTTCTGAGTTGGAAATCGCATCTATATATCAGGAACCCAAGAATGATGTCCATATACACTTGAGAGTCATGAGTTACAGCCTTTTCAATATTTCATTTATTGCATTTCATGAAAACGATTTCGTCATTCTATGCACAAAGACACTTCAGTCAACGGGAACTTTGCGCGAATCCCAATGGAAACTGCACTTCACATCGGTCAGTAGCAAATAGCAATAGCTACTGATGTAAGAATAGAAGAGGGGTACTGTGAGAGAGTATAATTGCATAATGGAATAATTTCACTTGAAATGACGCTGCATGATACATTGTTAATAATAATACAGGGAATTACACATTCAGATGGTTTTACCTACTCTCACTCCACCTTAACAACAATATTTTACATGTTTTGTCAGCACTCTTTTGAGCAATGTAAAGTCATGTTTACAAGCCACTTCACTGGCTTTCAGTAACTTCCTATAGTTTCAGATTTCAAAATCATGCCTGTCACTAGCTGACTGAGAACTGTTAGTAAACATGTCTCACACTTGTTATTTTGCCTGAAAGGTCTTCATGCATTTTGTTCTAAAATTTGCTATGGAGCCTTCGAAATGATGCTGGAGGTGACGGGCCTTAATATAAACACTAACTCTAAAAATGTGCTGTAGGGCACGTCTAACTTTGAATAAGTCTGCATAATATGGTGGGAATATCCGTCGATGTGAACATCCATCCCTAGAATTTCTCCACTACGTCGACTAAAGTATTTTGGCAAAGCTGATAATTGGCTATACATAATATCATCAGCAAAAACTTTTGTATTCTTATCCCATACCTAACACTCTTCAATGAGACGTTGGTAGAAAATAATTCCCTAGCATTGTTTACATTTCTACGATTCTGTATTGGTTGTTTGCCTTCACAGTTCGAATTGGCTCGTAAGGCTGAAGTTATGCGGTGTAGCATCATCGCCATTTATAATGCCGTTGTTTTACTTTCATTTGTCCGTACACTGGTTATGATCAGCCAGTCAGGTATGTCACCTCAATACTTCTAATCTTCAAATACACTTCGAATAAGGACAATCCTAATGATTTTATGAATTGGCATCCTAAGTGTTGTCTGGTTTATTAAGAGCGAATGTGGTGTGAATTGGGATTGATGAAGCACTAATGTTGTGTCATTTCAAGTAGACTTTGGTACAGACGCCTTAAAGTCACGTAAATATCGCTCATTTTATTCATGTGGGGCATTGAAAGTGCAAGAATATAGTCAGTCCGGTTGAATTTAAGACACAAAGCTCTTGAGAGACAAATTTCTTTGTTAGTCACTGCCAACCAAGCCACCAGCATGATACATCTGAGCGCTGTCATCAGGAATTGCGACTTTATTACTTCAGCATATGTAGGACGACAAAGCGTTAAATACACAGCAAACACAATCCACAATTGAGTTAGGGTTAAAAGAGCAATCCGTTTCAAACGAGTAACGTAATGCAAGTTCCTGATTTCGCTCAAAATAAGCAAAACAAAAGCGGCCATATGTCTTCCAAACTCCGTTGTTGCAAATATCATAAACGAAATTCAAACGACACTATGAACCCAGCTGGTTGTTCCTTTGAAATATATATGTATAGAAGCGGTAAAAATAGCACGTTTATCCAGTGACTGGCGGAATCAAAACCAAACTGAACTGCATGAAATTCTGGAACCTTTCAGCAACTTCGGCATCAACCTGACGTCAAAATTTGTAAATATGATGACTAAAATCCTGAAGGAGAGTTTAACGAAAAACTTTCAATGTTATTCATTATTCGATTAAGATACGGGTGAAACATTTGCTTCAACAACAATTCACTATTTTCTCCTCGATGAGATCTCCTCTATCTGACCCCAGAACGGTTTCAGAAATTCATTTTCTCCATCGATCTCCTCCGCACCAATATATGATATCCATCCATTTGTTCCATATTCGGATTTCATTTCCACTATGTTCTGAATTTTTAGATTATTTAATGTTTTTTAATACTCTACTCTGTCGGTTTCTTCGTCTTAGATATTGTTTCAGACCTCATCTATACTGTTTTCTGACTATGGAAATTCTTCAGAAATTTCAGAGACGTGTTCAGACCACTGCGTTGCAGCACTGGTTGAAGGATAATTGCGATAGGTTATTATGGCAGATCTCTACGCAGAATCCGAATAATAATGTGACTTAGTGGTTCAGGATATTACCAGATGTGACGTGAAAATAGAATGCGGTGGCTTAAATTCTTCGATGGTTTTGTTTCTCTTATTACCGAACTGTTTTGAAGTAGCAAACAGTCGTTTAGGTTTACGTGATATATAGACTTACTGTTTCCATACTTTTGTACACGAAGTACTTTACTTCACTTTTGCTCATATTGTAATTTTACCACCTTATGTCACCTTTTTCGTGTTTA